CTGGTCAGCGTCTGGGGCCAGCTCTCGAGTAGCCTGGTACGCGTGAGTCAGAAACAGCTGTAGGCCTCAGTCCTGGATTAGGCACCTGTCACTGACTCCCGCTCCCCCACGGCACTTTGCTTCCTTTAGCAAGCATAGCGGTGACCCCTCTGCCTGCTGAGCCCTGGACCTGATCCCACGAGGACTTTGGTAGTGTCACCTAGGGGCCAGTATCCAGGGAAGGAAGGACGGTGGTTAAACAGGTCAGCCCCTAGGAACCCCAATCCCGTCGCTTCCTGCTGTGCTGCATGGTTGAAGAGTTTCTTCCTCTTCGGCAGCTTTCCCTAGGGGCCGCCGCTGGGCACTTTGCCGTCGGAGTCCGTAGCTTCCCGGGAGCACGTGTCTGGCTCTTATTTGCACAGAGGACTTGGGTCAGTTGCATAAGCCCTGAAGAGCTGCACTTTCAATGCGAACGCTTGTGGTTGGGTCGGGTTGGGGTGGGTTTGCCCCACAGGTAGTTGTGATGCTGCGTGGCACAGCAGAGAGATGTGGCCGTTGTGTCTCTAGCACTTGCGTGTAAGCAGATTGTGTCTTTAGAGTGATGTGTTAAATGTGTGAATCTGGGGGGGGTGGGGGATTTGCTGCCTCAGAGAAATGGCTTCTGTTGAGAGTTGCGTCTGCCCCAGCAGACTGCTCACTACTGGGAGGTGCTCAAGCCCCCTGGGTGAGGGAATTGACTGGGCTCTTGCTTGGTTACTGTAGGGAAACATCCAAGAAATGGGGAAAGGTGACTGCTGGCTTCTGGGACTTGCAAAACCAGCAGGATCTGTGGGGCTGCTGCTTCCCGGAGTAAGGGGATGAGCAGGAAATCATGTCAATGGAAACCCCTAAAATCATGAGGGGGGAGGTCCCCGGAATCCTAGAACTACTGGGAGAGGGATTTGAAAACAGTCCATCAGTCCGTTGACAACGAGCGGGAGTAGCCAATGGACGGGCTTTCACCTGCTCCAGAGAGGAGGCAGAGAAGCGGGCAGCCTCCACCATTATTTTATTTTTATAGCAAACCCCCTGCCCATCCCCTGCAGCTGGGATCCTGACGGTACTTGCACTCGCAAGGGGTGTGAGAGTTACACCAGGCCACTATGTGCACAAGGGGTGGGGGGATGTGCAGTCCCCTTCCCCCATAAATTGGTCAGTAGGCCACAGTGTCAATTAACCCCACGGCTCTGTCTTAGGTAACGCTGCCCATCGGAAACAGGGTGGGGGGGACCCCAGAGCCTGGCTGTGTTCCAGGGGCGTGAGGGGCGGGATCCCTGCTTTATACCAAGGCCCACGATGCATAAAACGAATCACTCAACAGCAGCCCAACAAACTGCTCCCTTGAGGTTTAAACCAAAGGCTTGTTCTTTTTCTACTAAAACAAACAGAACCACCTCACAAGCGGCAACGCTCGTTGCTCTTTCTTTTCTTCTTCTTCTTGCTTTTCTGTTGATGGTGTTTGTGTATCCAGATGTGAAACGAAACCGCGGAGCCGGTTTTTTTCAGAAGCCCGTTGGCGGCACAAACCGGCTTGGGCAGAAGGGCCTGTCGTGTCTGCTGCGACGACCGTTCGAGGAGGTTAGGAAAGTTCCCTAGCGGACATTCTCCACCCCCCTTCCCAGTGTATCAATCTAACCGCTGTGGTGCAAGCTTGCTTATTCCTTTCTGGTCTCTCCTCCAGAAGTGGGTGTGAAATGTTTGACTGGCTCCGAAAGCATTTTGTACTGTATTGAGCCCTGGCAGACCACGAGCAAACAGACCATAACATCCTGGCATTCTGATTACCATCTTCCAGCCGCAGTGCCAAAGAGAGCCGGGTTTGATCAGTCATTCCGGAGAGTGACCAAAGTTAGATTGAGACTAAAATTGAGCACTGACCTCCACATTTGGACTGGGATTTTTCAAAAGGCACCCAACTCTCATTGACTTTCTCTGGGAGTTGGGCACTTCCTGTCTTCAAATGTGTTTGAAAACCCCAATCCTTAAGCTTCTAAAATAAGTGGTCTGATGATTTTTTTATTTGGAATTGGAGAGCACCACAGCTGCTGTCGAAGGCCAGGAGATCTGTAGGTGCCAGCACCTTTGAACATAAAGCTACTTTTTCGGGTAGGAGCCTGATGTCATCCTTGTTTGAACATGTTGACCTCATACTTTATACCTCTCAAAAGGTGGGATTCCTGAGCCGCAGACGGGGGTTTTAAACTCTAGTGGTTTGGGGGCTAGCATCTGCTTTGAACAGAACTGACGTGAGAAGCAAGATGTTAATCAGAATGACATGATTCCGTTACTTCAGAGCATTCAGTTCTAGGCCTAGTGATCTGAGAGATCTGACCTTTTCAAAGTCACTGCCTCCGCACTGGTCCAGTCCTCAAAATACTAAGCTCTGGAGTCAATCCCTTTTCATAAATACGCTCAGAAATAATTTCTCTTCCCATATGATCTGACTGCAGAAATCTCCATCTAGGTACGTGGTGAATACGAAAACCAGGCAGGACTGTGCTAGGCCTTTAAGGTTTTTGGATGTTATGGACAGCACTTGTTAAATTGGTGAGAAACTGCTGGTTTTCCACAAGGTAGCAATAAAAGGCAAACTGGCTCGATTGTGTGTAATTTTTGAGAAGCCTTCTCCAACAGAGCCCCAAACTGTCGGTTCTCACACAGAAACGATGCACTTTTCCTGCCGTCTGCCTGCAACTGAGCAGGCAGAGAGAGAAGGAAACAAACATCATGTCAAGCGGTCTTCTCTGAGCAGAACTGGAAACAAAGCTGAGACACACGTGGGTCTCCTTTTCTTACTGGCATTTGGTAAATTCCGTCATGGGACGCCGGTGCCCGGGTTGGCTGCCGTTTGGGGGATTTTTAAAGCACGGTTGTGGTCTGAAAAGCAGACTTGTAAAAGTGACATTATCGCTGCTGCGTGTTCTCTCTGATTCACTTCGAAAAATCCACCTTTTGACTTGCAAAGGCAACTTCTGTGCCACCAACCATCTCCCACTCAGTGTGAAAACCCGGCTGGCTTAGTTCTCCCTCCAGCCTCTAAAGTCCCCAGATGGACCAGCGCTGCTGACAGTTAATACGCACGGCAGGACATAATCCCCCTTCGGGTGCTTAGTTGTCTCCTGCGGGGCTCCCGGGAGTAAAAACTCCTTTGCCCAGATCAGATCCGCTCAGTTTCCCTGACAGCCAAGGTCGCTTTCTGACCACAACTGCTGCACTGTCATATTGTTGATTTGGTACGAAATTCAGCTAAGCTTGACCTGACTGTTAACCCCAGTAGACTGTGAATAAGTATGAAGAGCCCCACAACCCCCCCATGCCTCCCGTTCCCCTTTTCAAAAGGTAAAACCAACACACTATTCAAAGGGGGGGGGTGTTTTTTAAACAAAGGGAAAGGGAAGTTCTGAAATTTATAAACACCTTTTTTCCGCATCTTTTTTCT